TCTATGATCCACCTCAGAGACTAAGATCATTGAGGGAGGTCCTGCTCTTGGTCACACCCCATTCGTAAGAGAAACTGGTGGGGATGAGTGACAGGGCCTAAACAGTGGTGGCCCTGCATCTATGGAACTCCCTCCCTAGTGAAATTAGATTGGCCCCCTCTCTCCTGGCCTTCAGGGAAAAAACTAAAACATGGCTCTGGGATCAGGCCTTTGGTCAGTAATAGATTATGACCTGGGTTGTGTGATTTTAAATTGTTTTAATGTGATGTTTTAACTGGTTTGTTTTAATGGTTTTTTTTAATTTGTTGATGGTATGTGTATACGCAGCATCTAATTGTTGCCTTTGTAAGACCATCCTGAGTCCCCTTTGGGTCAAGAAGGGCGGGATATAAGGATGGCAAATAAATAAATATTTCTACAGTGTATCTCCTAACAGATACAGCCCAAATCTTGATCCCTGAAGGGGGAAATGTAAAAAGAGTGGGTGCTTTTGCTATTTCAGAATATTTTTTGCTTCTCCCTCAGCTGTTTAAGAGCTTGTAGCTACCTTTTTCAGATCAGGAAATGACTATCTTTTGAACCCATTGGCTGCTATAGCAAATAATGTGACTAAGAGTTGGACATTTGAGCAGTACTGAGAAAGCTGCACAATCGAGAGATGTAAAAACCACAAAATACGTCTGGAAAGTTCTACCCTGAAGCAACAATAATCATCAAGGCCCTTTGGCTTTCAGAACTGCTCTCTCCCTCTCTACATCCAGGCAAGTGTAGTTTTGCAATACAAAACCAGAGGTATGTTGTGTAGAGGTGGATGGGGAAGCTAAATGAACAGAAACTCATTGGGCTAAATGTCTGAACTAGGAAGTTACAGCAGCCAGTCAGTGGCCTTAGGCAAGCTGCTATTTCTCAAGACTAAGAATGTACTAATCTTAAATTCACGTATGGCAAGCATTTCAAACACTTGTGCAAAATGTGCAAAGCACGCATAGTTTTTGAAGAAATTCTCAATTCTTAATGTTGCTTTTTTATTAGGAGGATAAATGATACATTGAGGAAAGTAACTTTTTAAAAAACAAACTTACTGTAACACACATCTGAAAGGAAACACGCTGTACAGGAGTAATTTGCCAATACTTTGGCTGTTCTCTCAACCTATATTTTTGACAGTTCATTCTCTCTCTCTCTCTCTCTCTCTCTCACACACACACACACACACACACAAACCTTTAAATAAAGGCTGATTGTCACTTATCTGAAAGATTGGGACCAGAAGTGTTTTTCAATTTGGGGTTAAAACATTTTTTGGAATACCTGTATTTGTGTATGTATAGACACATATGCAACATTCATTTATGATTCATATACATAACCTGAATGTAGTTTGTATCTCGATCAAGTGATAAAAGCAGGGCATATTGTAGTTGATGTTGTTATTTTATATACAATATTTTTATATATGTTATTTTTATATACAATATTTTTAGTTCTGTTGTGTACACTGCACCATCAAAAGCAAAGGTGTCATTATCACAGCCGCCCATGTGACAATTGTGGATTTTAGAGAATCATGGAATTCCAGATAAGGGATGCTCAACCTTTATATATAAGTTACTGCTTACTTTCCCTCAGTTGAAATTGTATTAGTATTGTGTATCTATTGTTCAAAGGTCTCCCCAGTACAATCTATTTTTAGATAGAGTGAACACTGATGTTCACTGGGATTCCCAGTTGAACAATTCATTTTGTAGACAAGTGACTAGTTTGAAGCTTCATTGAACACAGATCATAGTAAAAAGTACAAGTAGCTAGAAAATATATAACACACGGTTATTAATCTATCTGGGCATTTAAGAGTTGTTAACCTGTATGTTCATTATTCTGCCCCCTCACCTTACTGCTCCAAGCCCCACAAATATCCAGTAGGTCTTACAAAGGCAAAGGGGGCAAGGGGAACACCGGTTTGGGTGCATTCATATTCTAGCAAATTCATTTATTGTAGTGCTTGCACAGTACATAGCAAGCCAGCAAAAACGAAGAATTGCAGCAATTCAAGCAGAACATGATGAAAAGCACATCTAAGAGCCCTCCATAAGATGCTGAGGCTACATGGATCACAGCCTGGAAAGATTCTCAAGATGGTGCGATGACAACTTGATTAGGTTTAGCCTGAAAAATGTGGCAAGAGAGATCAGAATCAAACATAATTCCCAAACTACTGGGCTTTTAATAAGCTCAAAAGGAATTTGGGAGTGGGGTGGAGAACAGTAAGAAATGGAAATACTCTGTAACCTGAAAGACTAACTGAGAGCAAAAGAAAGCATGTGAAAGGTTTTCATTCCAAGCCGCAGGTGCGGTAGGTGTTTGTTTGCAATCTCCATGTAACTACTTTGGCAGTATACACCCAATCATAACACCTGCCTCTCACTATAACAAAAGTTTAATGACATGTAGTTAGTACTGGCACATAAGTTAACGTAGGCCCCTTCCATAAAGCTATATAAAATCCACATTATCTGCATTGAACTGGATGATATGGCAGTATGGACTCAGATAATCCAGTTCAAAGCAGATAATGTGGATTATCTCCTTTGATATTCTGGATTATATGGCTGTGTGGAAGGGCCCTTATAAAAGGTTGCTAGGATAGAGCCTGGTGGGAACAAGAGCTTGGAAAACTGGCTTTTAAAAAAGACGATAACTCCTAGCATAGTTTAGCCAGAATGAATGGTGTGTCCACATTGCTATCAGCTCTCTATGAGCTCCAAATGCATTGGAAAAGTTTGATGAAGTTTCTGTTAAATCATGAATGGCAAGTCCACATTGCCAGATAATTGGGATAAACAGAAATCGTGGGATCAGATCCTGGTATAAAGGGCATGTCTGGAGGGGGCTTTTGCCTCATTTGCATTCTTTGGCAAGAAAAGGCCAAATTATCCTTACTGGAAGCTTAATATAATACTATAATACTAGGCAACTAAAACACTTGGATACCACTGCAGCTACCATGGTTCCCTTCATCATAGGGAATTCTGGGGTTTAGAGTTTCATGAACTGCAACGAATTCTCTGCCAGTGAGCAAATCCTCTAGTTCAGAGAGTACTCTGTAAAGCTATAGCTACAGACATCAAGATATCATACAAGAAAGAGAGAGCACTTGAAGTGCTACACGTTTAAAGGAGTCTTTTTAGTTATTGCATGCCACTCTGAGATCTTTAAGCAGAGGACAGGATATTATTTATCATTTTCACATTCAAAGTATGTCTGTTTCATTTCCCAGTCCACAAGGACTCCCAAGGCAAAGGTAAGCAGGATCTGCCTTGGTTAGTATTTAAATGGGAGACTGCCAGGTGCAACAGGTATCTCAAAGGCACACAGAAACAGACAACTTTGGTGTGTCTGAAAACCAATTATTTTTAATTAATACATGAGTAATTATGTAGGAATAGTGATCAAGCTTTTAAATAGGTCTTGGGAATAACCTTGTCTATCTTTTTTTTTTTCTAAAACAGAATTAATCTTCTAGCACTTTTGTTTTGGACAATCCGTGAGACTCCAAGGGCAAAAATAATTGGTTCCCCAAACCTATCAAAACTATCTGTGTGTATGTGTCTTCAAGTTGCCTGTTGCCTTATGGCAATCCCATGAATTTCCTAGGGTTTTCTTCAGCAAGGAATACTCAGATGGCTTTATTATTTCCTTCCATTGAAATATACCCTACAGCACCTAAAAGTCATTGGTGTTCTCCCATCACAAACTAACCAAAGCTGACCCTGCTTAGCGTCCAAGATCAGACAGAATCTGGTGCCTTTACCCTTCTGTTAAAAGTGCAGTGCACAAGCAAACAAAAGAAAATGGAAATCACTAACAAAAATATCTAGTTTTCTGAAATAAATTTAGGAACATTGGATTTTACAAAAGCCGAGATTTAAAAAGTATGTGTATCTATATTAAATAAAACTTTAAAAGAGATTTAAATCCACCAAGCCAGTCCTGACCATGTTTGTTCAAAAAGAAATTATTTTAATGTCAATGGGCCTTTTACCAGGTAAAAGAATTTGAGAGATTATAGCCAAATGCTGCAAATCTATATAGAATCCAACAAAATGGGAGTCCAGATTGGTCAATGAGATGTTTTTTGAAGGGATGACGGGGAAAGAAAAACAATGTTCCAATATGTTGTATTCTCCTTTAATTATCATGGTACTTCATCAGGGGTATCACTATCTTCAATAGGTCCACTTTCCTGGGATACCTCCAGATACTCAATGAATATAAATAGGATTCCAATGAAAGGATATAAGTTTCAGAGTTTCTCATTTTCCCCCAGAAGGCCTGAATATACAAAGATCTGCGTATCAATCAGTTTTGCTTCTTATGAACCCCATTCCACCCTCCTCCCCTCTTTGACTACTGAATATGTTTTGTGGACAGCAACACAGAAGACTCCTTTTCATTAATCTAAAAATGGGGTGGGGAATGAGAATAAGATGTTATCAACCACGATGACTACTCAAGGTAAATTGAATTTTAAGATCACACACTAAATTTAAGTGATGCAAAATTCAGCACTGTAAAAGTAAGGGCCTTTAACTTAAAATGGAAGCATTTCAATAGACAGCTTTCTTTAAATGATGATGGGAAAGTGTGGCAGTCCCAATATATGTGGGGGAGAAACCATCTATAGAAAGAAAAGGAAAATGCAGCTGAAATGAAAGCCATTCCTCTCAAATTCCCATTTGGAGTGCATTAATGCTTACTTTGATACCACCTCACATATGTTCCATGCATTTTATGCAAACTACTTGGTTTATGTTGAGCGGAATTATTTCCATAACGACTATGGAATAGTGAAACAGTGGATGCAAACCTTATTGAATTCCCCCATCATACCTTACTGAGTCAATGCTGCCTCTGCCCTTTTGACTTTCATTCTGTAGCTTCACAAAGACATTGTTTTCCTCACCCACCCAACACTATTTCTCCTCCCATTATGATCTTACCTAGGAAGAGAATTGTCTGTTTCCTGGAAGTTCTGCTCTCAGGATTCTCAGTTTTCCTTAGATACTGATTTTGACTCTCCGTCTCCCCTCTCACCGCCAATGTCCCCTGCTTGTGGATCATCAGGACTTTCATCATACTCCGGCACATAAAAGCAACTGATACCAATATCACAACATATACGATAAAGGCTGTGAATATACTTGACTGGAAGACTTTCCATCTGGAGGACAAGCTGGTGCATATGGTCACATTTAGCCTCACGTCAGGCATATGGTGCCGGCCCTGGGGCTTCTTGCATGCCACCAAACCTCGATGGCCCTGAATGATTTCCAGAGGGTACTCGGTCCCCATTGCAAAGAGAAGAGGGAGGGCCACTAGGACAGATGTTATCCAGACAAAGGTGATGAGAAGCTTCACTTTGAAAGATCCAGATGTAGCTTTGAATTTGAAAGGGTGACAGATGGCAATGTACCTCTCAAAGCTTAGAGTGGCCACATGCAACACCGTGGCATAGCTGCAGGCCTCAAAAAGGAAGCAGTACAACTTGCAAGCCAGGTCGCCTTTAGGAGTTGAGAATGGGCTCCATATCATACTGAAGAACTCCACAGGCATCCCCAGTAAGATGACCAGTAGGTCCGAGCATGCTAGGCTCACCATGTGGTCTGTAACTTCTTTCTGGAGGTAGCCTTTCTTCTGTAGCACTTTGGTTGTCTGGATGGTAACACTGTTGCCCAAGATACCTGCCACAAAGACAATAATGTACACGAGCGCAAGAGTGATCTTGATCCATTGAGCTACTTCAAAATCTTTCACGTGGCTGTGGTCGATTATATCCCAACACTGTGGCTCGTCACTTTGCGTTGCCATGTGCAGCTCTAAGTCTAGAAATGGCAAAAGAGAGGGAGATGTTTAAAGAACGTCATTATCTCAATGTCCTTATCATGCTTCCAGCTCAATCCTATATATGCTTACTCAAAAGTAAGGCTCAAAGTATGTATAAGACAGAAGTTCTAATAGTAATGATTCACATAACCTTGAATATGTGTAACCCAACTTTTGATCTAGTGCCCCACCCTGTTAGTGGTGTTAATGGAAGAAAAGAAATAAAACAACCTTTTAGGCACCTTTAAAAATGTCAAAGGGTTGAAGTTTCTTACGTCTTTGTCTTGTTTCGTTTTTGCACTTAGCTCTTCCTCAACACCTCAAAGCGATGTTGTTTCCAGTTCTCTTCAAAGGTGTCAGCTTCCTCCAGTCAGTCACTGTTGTCTCAATCCCATTCCAGCTTGTGATGCGAGCTCTCAGTGGCTGAACAGCAAGTCTGTCAAACATTAACTCGCAGCTGAACTGTAAAAGGGATGTGGTCACTGATCAAAACCATGATAAAGTGAGTAAAAAAAAGGGAATGAGGTAACTCTGATTCAAGATAAGTAGGCTGACTTTCCCTTCCCTTCCTGAAATTTGATCTCTGCTCTTTCAAACAAGGACTACTATTGTAGAAAAAGTGCCTAGGCTGAACAATTTAACATTGGTTTTATTCCCTCCTTCCTCTCTACTACATTTCAGGTGCATGTTAAGATTGCAATCATTTTCTGGTCTAGCAGTGGTTTTAAAGTTTCCTTTTCTATTCACACATTTGCTGGTACTCAGCAGCAAAGATTGTTTTAATAGAGGTAGAGTATCTGTTATCCAATACACTTCCCCTCCCCAGCATTCAACATGCAGTATATCACAACAAGGTACTTTGTGTATCACAACAAGGTACTTTTCATTCCAAACAACCTCAACATCTCTTCCCAATACATTTTAAAAGATCCGTTCTGCCAAATATCTGCGCCTGATTTTTTTCAATATCTTCAATCGATATCTTAGTGCAGTTTAACTATCCCTTACCTGAGGGCCCTTCTACACAGTCATATAACCCAGAATATCAAGGCAGAAAATCCCACAATATCTACTTCAAACTGGGTTATCCGAGTCCACACTGCCTTATATTCCAGTTCAAAGCAGATAATGTGAGATTTTATTCAGCTGTATGGAAGGTGCTTGAAATGCTTGGGATCAAAAATACTTGCATCTACATAAAAGATATGTTGGAGATGTGGCCCAAGGATAAACACAAAATTCACGTATATTTCATATGCACTTTATACCTAATTGTATATAAAATACTTAAAAATAATTTTGTGTATGTGAAAACGTTGTGACCATTGAACCATTTGAAAGCCAAGGTGACACTATCTGAGCGATCTCAGATCTGGACAAGCTTGGATTTTGGAGCATTTCAAATTTCTGCATAAGGGATTCTCAGCCTGTAGTGCATAAACATGGGATTGCATTAAAAACAAACAATCTACCATGACAGCCGTGTCATCACTATGGCAGCATTGTCATATTTTTGATGAATGACGCTGTGCCATATGAACCACATTTTGACAGCCAGAAATCAACAGGTAAAGTTTTTTCCCAATACAGAAATGCAGGCAAGATGACATGACTTTACTGCTGTGACACACATAAGAAAAAAGGAAGGCACTTTCATCCTAAAAATTGGCAGTTCTGCTCACCATGCTATCATTATAGGGGGAAAATAAAAATGCAGAACTAAATTATTTTGTTAATCCAAGCTAGATTAGACCCACTGAGGTCCCATTGACTCTGCCATATAATGCAATTTGAAACTATTATATGGTCAGTGCAACTCATATAATGTAGTTCAGTGTAGTTACACTGCATTATGAGTCTTCACTGACCATATAATGCAGTTTCAAACTGTATTATATGGCAGTGTGGATGGATCCTGTGTCAGGATTACTTTGTAAGTTAATGATACCAACTCTACTCTAGTTGGAACTAACAACTGGATTTAGTTCGCAGTTTCATTTCCTTTAAAAAGATGCAAATCTCCCTTAGTAGGAGCCCTTCCACGCAGCCCTATATCCCAGAATATCAAGGCAGAAAATCCCACATTATCTGAGTGTGGGCTCAGATAACCCAGTTCAAAGTAGATATCGTAGGATTTTCTGCCTTGATATTCTGGGATATAGGGCTGTGTGGAAGGGCCCTAGGTTACTCAGTGGTGGTGCCTACCACTATATGTTGAGTGCAGAGGCATTATGAAGTTTTCTATGCCTCCTCCATCACCCTGCAAGGAAGTCCTAGTCCTCCTGCCTCCTAAAATAATCAGGGGGGCTTCCACACAGCCATATAACCAGAATATCAAGGCAGAAAATCCCACAATACCTGCTTTGAACTGGGTTATCTGAGTCCACACTCAGATAATGTGGGATTTTCTGCCTTGATATTCTGGGATATAGGGCTGTGTTGAAGGGCACTGGGTTATCTGAGTTCACACTGCCATATATTCCAGTTCAAAGAAGAAAATGTGGGGTTTTATTCAGCTGTGTGGAAGGGCCCAGGATAATAAACTCCTTTGGATCTGGAGTTTAGGTTAAGAAATTCTGTAGAGTACCAATCAATTCCTGATAACTTTTTCTTCCCAATTACACGCTTTATGAAAAGGCTAAGTCAAGAGTCAGATTAGCATTTAACTTCTTGATAACTATTACGCTTTTATTTCTTTATTACCTATTTTGTATTGTGGCCATATTTATTACTAAATGTACAATGCCCCTAAGGCTATACTGCTACTACAGCATGCTTATTGGGAAGGGAAAGTGTAGGGTCAGCATAGCTGAACCTTCTTCTGAACAGACTCATGTATGATTGCAATCTTAATATACTAATTTAAAAATCACAAAAACTTTGTAGATTAGACAAGTTTCCTTTTTATCTTTGCATAAGAGTGTTATCTTTTCCACTGTGGTTATCTTCCCATCCCCCAAAACCATAATGAACAAAAGAACGCAAATAATCTGTACTTGCTTCAGTTGATTATTTATACAGTCCTGGGGGGGGGGGGTGTCTCCAATCTTTGTGCTGCTTCAAGCCCTGTTGCCCTAGTCCTCCTTTGCTGTGTGATAATTCAAATTTGTTCTGCTCAGACAAGCTTTATATTATTGCCCAATTTCTTTCACTTAATTTTACTTGATAAAAGTGGGAACAGAGATTACACATGCATGGCTGACTCGTGGAAATGGAACAAATTAAAATTTGTTGGTTACTAGGGGCTGAGGAGGGAAGAAGGGAAGGAAATATGGGTATGAGAAGATTGTGTTTTCCTTGTTGTTTTTCCATAACAATGGTTAAAGAAACACCCTAGTTTTGTCATTTTAGTCTTATAAGATACACAGGCTTAAATTATTAGCATGTCTTCTGTCTTGAAAGAAAGAAATATATGGGATAATTAACCATATTCTCTGGGGTCACAGCATGTTGTGGAGGAAATGTGTTGGCTTTTTTAAAAAAGTTATTTTTTAAAAAAGAACAAGCACTACTACTTCTATTCTTGACTTTGAGGATAATGTACAAATATGAGCTTACAATACTTAGATGTATCTGGCCCTGTTCCAAATCCATCCTGTGCTCTACTGGGAAGAAATACATACTCTGGCTCTTTGAAGAATTAAGTTGGAAGAGATCACAAAGACCATCTAGTCCACCTCCTACTATGCAGCGATACACAGTCAAAGCACTCCTGACAGATGGCCACCCAGCTCCCAGGCATGTGGAATACTTCACTCACCATATTGTCATAATTAACTCCCCAATAGGACCCAGCATGTTACAGTAGTTTGAGGATTGGATGAGGACTCTGAAGACCAGGGTTTGGGCAAAAGTATGATAGCTGGGACCCTATGCTGGTTGCACACCACGGGTCAGAATTCATGAAGGGAAGACGTGCGTGAGACAACGCAGTGAGTGAGAGACGCAGCTGCGAGGGAGGGAGGAGGAGGGGATCTACGGCTCACATGTCCTACCCTCCTGGGGCCCTGGCTCTTCCACTGTTAGAAAGCAGGCGGGGGAAAGCAGAAGAAGAGGGGAAGGGGGAATCTAGTTCCTGCCGCTGTGTTCACACTAGGGCCTTATAAATACCTTCCCTGGCCGCCAGCACACTTTCTGCCCTTCGAAGAAAGCAACCCCAACAACTGGGAACAGTCCAAGCGGACTTCCCTTCATTAATTCTGACATGCATTGCACAACTAGCATAGGGTTCATAGGGTACCAGCTATCATACTTTTGCCAGGGTTTGAATCCTCACTGAACCATGAAAACCTTGGAGAAAGCAAAGGCAAAAACCCCTCAGAACAAATCTTTATTTAAAAAAACCCTCTTAGGGTTGCCATAAGTCAGGAAAAAACTTGAAGGCATACAACAGCAATTAATTGTACTGTTTCATAAGAGTTAAAGGGGAATAGAGGAACAAGAAATTAAGGATCTCCTTCTGATACAGTTCCACTTTCAAGGGATTAGCTGGAATATTATACACAATGTGGAAGTGTTACTTTTATGGGTGGTAACTTACAGCACTGTCTGTGCTGCCTAGGGGATTTGGGGGCTGTAATAAAAAAAGTAACTTCTCCAACTTTAGAAGTTATGGTGAAAGCCTGACATCACTACAACTCTCCTCACTCCTTGGTAGCTGCACAGCTAAGCAGAGTGCAGCCAAAGGAGCAGTTGTTCTCCAATATAGTTGAAACATCCAAATCCTTTAGCCTAAACCAGTGATGGGCAACCTTTTGAGCTTGGTGTGTCAACATTTGCCAAAAACCTGAGCATAACTTGGGTGGGGTGTCAACTTCAAGAAAAAACCCCCATAATTTTGCAATATTTATAGTTTAAGTAAGAAAAATGTATATTCCATGCTGAGTTATGGAGTGAACAATGCTCAAACGTGCAGACGTTAAATTTGGTAGAGCCTTTTACAAATTTAAGGATGGAATTAGATTGGCTCTTATAAGGTGTACTTCTCTGTATG